AATAAATTTTAATAATAATTAATAGTGATAGGCACAATCCCAAAAGATCTGGACCAGCACTTGAACACCATTGGCATTGACAAAATCCCCATAAGTGAGTTGCAAAAGGCACTTTTACTTGGATGATACACTTAACACCATCAGACAACAACTTCTGCCTATCCCAGAACCAGGGGAAGCACTCTCTAGATGGATAAAATTGCCAAATCCAGTCTAAACACCTGGCTTACTGTGCAACCAACTATAAACAATAATAATGGTAAAATATTCATTCTGGATTTATAGAACCTGGCAACTTTAACCTTTTGACTTACTTACTAATTTTTCAAATTGTCCTAACTTTTAATTTTTTCTTTTTCCTTGTCCTAGATGAAATCATTGAAGGAAAATCGGGGACTACCACTCCCCAAAGGTCAGGCTCTGTGACTAATTATAAATCTGGTCAGAAGGACTCAGACAGCGATGTTCCAGCAAAACCATCTGATGCATCTCTTACCTCTTCAGTGACCTCTTCACTTGACTCTTCTACAACTGAATTAACCCCAAGATCAGGGAGTCACACAATAGAATTTTTTGAAATGTGTGCAAATCTTATTAAAATACTTGCACAATGATTTATAAGGTTGGCTTTTTTTTACAGCAATAAGCATGCCGAAAAAGAAAAAAAAATCATAGTCAAATGCTTCCAATTATAATCAAGTTACAGTTAACTTTGGCACTGAGAAGACTAGCCACATTGCAATTTGCACAGGAATTGAACTTGCATTTAGAAGCAGTCTACACCTCATACTGCATCCTTCCCAAACCAGACGTCCTCCAGATGTGTTTGCCATTCTGTCTGCAGATTAGGGAGGGCACATCTGGAGGTTTCCAGGTCAGGGAAGGCTATCTTTAATGTACCGAAGCAAATTATGATTAAATAGTCTACTGGTATGATGTGCAGGTACAAGAACAGTATGTTTTACATTGTGTATCATTAGGGCTTCACGGAGTTTGACCTTTGTATGCTGATAATTTATTCCTTTTACAGTACATGTGCTCATTTATGAAATCAAAAGGCAAAGTTTGCAAACCGTCTTTGCTTGTATTCTGTTGTATCAACAAAAGTGTTCCCCTGTCAAACAGCACTTCAGGCATCTGGCACTTACCCCAAGTTTCCAACAGCCAGTGGTGCACTTGAGTGGAAAAGACAAAAAAAAAATGGTACCCTGCTTTGACCAATTCGGACTTTGTCCTGAAAATGATAATACCAAATATAACAATGTTCATTTTAATTCCATGAAGAGAAAGGCAGGGTCTGAAAATAAGTTGCATGGGTTTTCTCCAACGTCTGTTACATGTGACGAGTTTCAGAAGCACTTTGTAAATGGTGAGATGAGTGGCGTTTTATTGTTCCTTGGAAGGCAATCAGAATTTATAGTACGTATGCACAACTTCTGACCATGGATCTAAGCAGGTGACCTTAGGGAGGATCCATGAGATATGGGGTTTCCCCCCCACCACCACAGCACAACTGATCTGTGAGAATGATAATATGCTTGACCAGATTGCATGTTTTCCGACCCATGTTGGGTGCGTGGAAGCAGTTTTTTTGCAATCACAACAGGATATGGATTCTGTGCCTGAATCTAAGCCCAATGTTTCCATGACTGATAGGATAGCCCAGACTGGTATATCCAGTTGTTAGAATCATGTCCTGCCCTGCCCTGGGATTTCATATAGCTCCTGTTTTCATATAGCTTGCATACAGATCTCTAGCAGACAACTCTTCTAGTAAGAGTGATTTGGATTTTGCCTGTGTTGCATAATCACTTTTTTATACTGCTTTTATATATACCGAATTAAGATTTCTAAAAGTTTTGAAAGATGAAATAACTTTGGTTTCGTTTTGATATGTATAGAACTTAACTGGTTAGGTCAGAAATGAGTCAGCTGCCACAAATTAAATATTCTTATTGAAAAACTGCTAGAGAGAATCTCCCCCCCCTCTGCTGGGTTGTTGTTTTTTTTATTGGATAAAAGAGTTATTGGACTAAAGAGTTAAAGGAGGCTTAATTTGAACTAATTAAAATTATAGAATGGTGTTTAAATGGAAATACTGTATCATGTTTCAGCAGTTCTTGTTTGGTGAACACATAACACTTAATCACGATTTGCAGAGTTTGATTATTTTTGGCATTTAAGTTAAGATTCCAAATGTATAAATCCCATTGAAATGAGATGATAAACCAGATTCTTGTGTTTATGAGTTTATTTTGCTCTCCTCTCTGTTTCTTTTGGTTACCACAACTGCTATAACAAACCAAGAGGTTATTTTTTTCTTTTTATTGTTGACAGGAATTCTCTTTTATTTGCCCACTGTAAAGGAGGATTTATCTTTTAGTAATAATTCTTGAAAACCTCAGTTTATGTGACTTAACTACAGTATACTTGCTGAATTGGTCCTAGTTTTGTTATCAGTTGTGCTAATAGTATGGAAGAAATAGGAATCCTGGGATATTGTTCCTTGTCAAGATAAGAGAAGATAAGGCAGCGGTCAGAGTTTTCATTTTAAAAACAGAAAAGATGCTGAAATTGATCTAGCCATGGCTTTGCCTGGTACAGATGCAACACTTTAGTCAGGGGTAATGCAAATGCACTAAGTGAAAATTTCAGAACATAAGCAAATCCTTAACTGTGATTTGATATGCATATGGTTAAGAAAAAACCATTAATATGTGATTATTAATGAGACATAGGGTAAGGTTCATATATCATGCTATGGCATAACAGCTTCTGCCTGGCTTAGCATGTTGTATGACCCCAGCTATTACACTGTAAAGCTATGCTAGTTGTAGCTTATTGAATAGGCTGTGATTCAGCAGACACGGATTATGATGTGTGTGCCCAGCCAATTGTGGCTTATTCAACAAACCATGTTTAAGCAAACAACGACAGCAGTGTGTGAGACTTCTTATAAGACGCGCAAATGTCAGAAAACAGATCTCTTAATTTGTCTTGCTTAATGTGGTGCCTTTGGAATGTTTTGCAGTATGATTTCAATTATCACCAGCCTCCAATTTCCATGCTAAGCAGGGATAATAAAAAGTATACACCAGCCATTATCAAGGAGACAACAGCTTGGCTTCATCTTGTAAAGTCAAGTCTTCTACTGTCATGGGAATGTGTAGCAGAGGTTCCCAACTGAATTGTGCCAGCAAAGAATTTAAGAACAGATGATAAAGTGATGCTTGGGTTTGAATACAATAATGTGTATGTAGTGAGTTTGTACCAGCAACTCAAGATGTGCTGAAGAAGACTGGTTCAGTCTGTAAATGCATGAATTCAGGAGAGGCACTGTTTTAATACTGTAATTAAGTAGAGATTGGACTGCAAAATTTGTGCTATGGTCAGGAGGTCCTCAAAACCGTAGCCATGGATTTTGCCATGTGCTGGCCTTTTTAGAGGTGAACACTTAAGGTGGTCTTATGTTATAGTTTCATACTTTATTACTTCCCAGAATTTAAACAGTAATTTTATAACTGAACCTGACTCGCAGTCACAAATATGTACTCCAAAAGAGATAAAGTGTGTGGGAAGGAAAGGGCGGTGGGGTGTGTATGTGTGTGTGGGGGTTAAAAGGGAGTCAGTAGCCAAATAGTGTTGCTGTGATATATAAAGAGAGATGGTTGTCTTGGGGACCAAGTAATAGTCCTATTCTTACTTTGCAACAAGAAAATAAAATTACTTATTACATCTTGCTCTGCTGCATCTATACAATTACTGTGATTTTTTTTATTTATGCTGTCTTAATGGAATTGTTAATACTGAACTTGGCAAATGGCATAAATGACCCTTTTTTTCTTCATAGCTCAAAATGTTTTTGGCAAGCTACAATCTTAAATTTGGAAAAATACCTAAAAATAAGTGTGTAAACCATAAGTGACATGTTTCTCTGTTTCAGTGGATCCAAAAGTAAGTGCAACCTGAAGTAAAATTGCTTTGACTTCAAGGGTTCTGTATTTTTAAATATGTCTGCATATTTAACTGTAGCTTTGGTATGTTTCCTACTCAAATCCAGCTGAAATGAATGGAAGATATCTGCTTGCCTCATCAGTTTGATTTTATATTCAGTGTCTACATTAAGAAATGTTATCATGTATAAAACTTTTATTTTTTTTAATGTCTGTAACTTTTATTGAGTGTTGGGGTTTGTGTGTGTCACATTATCAGGCCTTAACTTCTTCTTTGGAATACGAGGGCCAAAGTACATAGCAAAAAGGTACAGCTGCCTATTGTTAAATACAGAATTTTGTAATTTTTCTTTAAAAGCCATTTCAATGTCCCTTTTTAATTTTTTTGTTAAGTTGGGCAGAGGAATAGCTTGGATGCATTCAAGCAAAAAAAAAATGAATCAATCAATGTTTTGTAACAATTTTTAGACTTAGAGTAAAATATTGATGTTGAAATTACTTTTTTTTCCTTTTTAACTAAGGCCTTGTGTGGTCCTATAGTGGAGGCCTATTTGCTGGCACTTGTTAGAGACACAAGAAGGTCAGGGCCGTTGATCATAAAATACAGAGCTGCTTTGCAGAACTGACCATGATGGGAACTGTGAAGAAAAAGAATCTGTTTAAAAAATGAAAAATAACAGAAGTCTCTAGCTTGACTAAGCAGCATATTCAAATATTGTTCCTTTGGGCTCATTCCAGTAGAAAAGCCCTTCAGATGATCTGTTTTTTTATTGCAAACACTTCATAATTAATTGCTGAAAATGGGGGGGGGGGGGAGAAGTAGGAAGTGGAAAACTTGTGCAATGTAAATTCTTAACATTGGTAAAAAGTAAAATTCCCATCCATCTTAGTAGTGCAATCTTTCCAAAGGCTGACTTTCACATGTTTTGTCATTTTTAACTTTTCAATCAGTATAAAATTTGAGATAATTTTGCCAATTGATTTTTACCATTGTATTGCTTATGAAATGGATGATCACCATTTCTCAAAAACAATATGTGCCTACTTTTATTGCATATTCTCTCTCTCTCTCTCTCTTTTGGGGGGATCAATATTGAATGAAATTGCTTGTGATAGCTGTATATGACCTGTTACTTTTAACAAACATTAAACTGTATGCAAGTAAACCTTGAAATTTCATGGTATAGTTTCTTAGCTTCCTTAATACCTCTGTCAGTTCTTAATTGTTGGTGACTTTCTTAACATTGATGGAGGTTTACTACAGTTGGAGAAATATATTCGGCATTGGGTTAATAGCAACTTCTGATCCTCCAGTTATTGGTGGAAGTGATAGCTCAGCAACAACTGAAGAGCCTAATCTCTGATCCCAAAGAGCAAAGGATAACAATGCTTTCAAGATGTGTTTCTGAGGAATCCCAGGCTTCCTAGAAATTTGTCAGGGTTTCATTAATGGTATCATTACCATTGCCAATCAGCCACCAAGGCTTAGGGGATTTGGTCAGTAAGCTATAAATAAGTACACATAAAACACCTACATAGTGCAGAGGAGCTCTAGTAGTTTGTGGGTATAGTAGTGTGAGATGCCTGGAAGGAACAGACCAGATTGCCTATCCCTGACCAAGCCAGGTATAATTTTCTCTGGCAGCTGTTCTCTGGATAGAGAAGCTGAAGTCATGAATATAGCTTGATATGGTTAAGTTAGCAAAATTATTAAAACAAACCATAACTTAAGTACGAACTCAGCTCCTTTTTATGTGGCGTATACGACGTACTGTATCCTTCCCCAAAGTGGATGTCTAGGACTACAAAACTATGTTGTCACCGCAATCCTGATCCAGTGAGAAATGATGGAAGGGAAAACAACTCAAATAATGGTTTCATCATGGTGGTGTTTGGAGCTGTATTGGCTGATCCAGAGTAGGATTTAATTAATAATTATATGGGAGATCATCCCCAAAGACAAACTATCTCCTTACTGCTGTTGAGAAAATTATGCAAATTTGCCAAGAAATTATTTGGAATCAAGCTCGCTTTAAGACGGGTGTCCAACCTTGGTAACTTTTAAGATGTGTGGACTTTTAACGCCCATAATTCCCCAATCAGACAAATTATTCTCCAAAGCACCAGAGGGCAAGGCAAGAAACAATGGCTAGAAACTAATCTAAGAGAGAAGCAACCTGAAACTAAGGAGAAACTTCTTAACAGTGAGGACAATTAACCAGTAGAACAGCTTGCCTTCAGAAATTATGGGTGCTCCCATCACTGGAGGTTTTTAAGAGACTAGACGGTCACTTACCTGAAATGATTTAGGACCAGGTTCTCCTGTTTGAGCAGGGGGCTGGACTAAAAGACCTCCAAGGTCCCTTCCAGTTTTATTCTATTTTAAGAGTTATTCTAAGACAAAGGAGGCATCCCTCTTGCCTAAAGACCGGGGGAGGGGAACAGATGAAATAAACCTTCAAGTGCTGCTTGTAACTCATTTTCCTTCATGATTCAAAGTTTTAAAAACTTTTTTAAACTTTGAATTATAAAAGGGTGATAAAAGAGGCAGTTAACAGCGTCTAGGGATTTCTGCATTCAACGTGCCCATTTCTTTCTACAACTCTTTGACATAGACCTGCCTCACCCACTAGTGACATGACATAACTTGCACCTAATCAGGACGGTGTCATTGTCGGAGATAATGAAAAATAAAGAATGTGGATTGGCAAAGGGACTATACATTTCATTGTCTCTTCCAACCTGAGGATTGGGTGGAGGGAATCTTGACCCAATAAAGCAGGGGTGGGGAACTATGCACCTTTTATGACTTCTGGACTTCAATTCCCAGAATTCCTGAGCCAGCAATGCTGCTCAGGAATTCTGGGTGTTGAAGTCCACAAGTAATAAGTCGTTCCCCATCTCTGCAGTGCAAAGAGGTCAAAGTCGCAACACGTTCTACGCAGCGAGTGAGACGGTTCAAGTTCTGATGCTAGCCAATAGTTGCAATCCGTGTCGGTTACGTGATCACATATCATACTAGTATGCTCTGCGGTGCAATCCCAGCACTCGGCTTGCTGTGGGACTGTATTGACTTTGGAGTTCCTCCATTGTTAATTTTATAAACATAACGAAGGGTCTCACGGTCGGTACACAGAACGTATTTTTCCTTTAATGGTGCTCCCCGACCTCCGTTCCGTTTCTCCCTGGACGCTAGAACTGACCTCCCCCCCCCCCGCAAAAGGAAAGCGGAAGTTGAGCATAGAGTTTGTGACATTGCGCAGAGCGCCGCTATTTCCGGATTTGCCACTTCCGGTTGGTGGTTATTCTACAAACGGAAGCTAGGAAGACGTCACTGGAGTGGGGGGCTTCCAGGTAATCATGTTACCCTTCTTTCCACTGGATTCTGTCCTTTTTCTTTCCTAAATTTTACAAAGAAAACACATTTATTTCACCTTTTTACATGTTAATTATATAAAGGGTGGATTGGGATATTTGAAAAACAGCCCCAGCCCTTGATGACTGCCTTGTATTCCCAAGACTTTCGGAACTACAATTCCCTTAAATCCCACCGCGAGTTGTAGTTCAACGGAGGCAAAATGCCTGTCATGCTTCCAGCAATGGCACATGTTGTGTCTGTACTGGAAGATATTATTTGATTAATACCTCTTCATGGGTTTAAAAATTTAGGAAACCCGAAGGGTGGGAATGCTGAAATTGGCCCTTGAATCTTGATTGTCTGAATCCTCGTGGATTTAAATAAGGAGCTGACATATATCTAAACTCTGTCTTTGGCTAAAAATACTCTGAAAGTAATAATGTAAACATCCACGAAAGTAAAGGCTAACATTTAATGATTTAAGCCAACTTCTGAAACTTTTAAGATATGTGGACTTCAACTCCCAGAATTCCCTAGCCAGCATCTGTGATTTTGCTTTTAATTCATTTGAACACCTGTAGATACCAAAATCATAAATTGTAAGCCAATTTTGTTAGCAGAAATTAAGACTTTTTTGAGTAAATAGATTTGTTACTTAGGCTAGATTACTTACAGTAATATGGATTACCTATGTAAATTGATGACCTATGACAAATTGAAGTAGATGAAAATTATACAAATAATTAAATGTGCATTCTTTCTCAGTTTTCTGGAATGGCTTCCTTTGGATGGAAGAGAAAGATTGGTGAGAAAGTATCTAAGGTAACATCCCAGCAATTTGAAGCTCAAGCTGCTGATGAACAGGACCTGGTTGATGATAATGAAGTTGATTGGCTTCATGAAGCCAAAAGGAAAAAGGGGCTTCTTCTAGAAGACTGTGTAGCCCAAAGTAAACATCTGAAGGATGAAGGTGCAATTTTAGCTGAAAATGGAAGGTATGGATTCCCCCCCCCCCCAGATGTATATGTCCTGTTCCATATTAGATAGTTGCTTATGTTAACCCTTTGTTTTATTTAAAACAGTGTTGATATTAATGTTATATTGATGTTGTAATGATCTAAGTGTTGATTAATCCACAGTGGGTGGATTCATACATAATACTTTAATTATAAAACACGGTTTATGTATCACAGTGATAGGGTTCAGGATTCATACAACTTACTAATTCAAATGAGAGAAATTCTGTTACGGTTTGTTTATTTATTTATTTATTTATTTATTTTATTTATTTATTTATTTATTTATTTATTTATTTATTTATTTATTTATTTATTTATTTATTTATCAAATTTATACCCCGCCCTTCTCCTAATGGACTCAGGGCGGCTTACAGCCAGTTAAAACAGATAACTAATACAATAATACTAAATTTAAAATATGATTAAAATGAAATATTCATTATTGGCCATTTCTTTTTAAAATTATTTTAAAACCAAATTAAAATACCCCTTAGGCCAGTCCGGCTAGTTTAAATAGCCATGTCTTGAGGGCGCGGCGGAAGGAGGGGAGATCCGGAATCACCTGGATCTCTGGGGGTAGTTCGTTCCAAAGGGTGGGGGCTCCAACAGAGAAGGCCCTCCCCCTGGGGGTCGCCAACCGACACTGTCTGGCTGACGGCACCCTGAGGAGACCCTCTCTGTGGGAGCGTATCGGCCGATGAGAGGTAA